TTCACGGCCATTGACGGGACAATTTAAATCAATTTGCTGTCTTTTTCCTGTCGTTTGATGGCTATGCAGAAATTGCGTTTACTGTTATTAATTAACTGCCGTTTTATGCAGATTTTAAAATCAAATGAATTATTCACTAATTATCTCGTAATTTCGTTATCATAATTCAGGGCATCAACATGTGTCGCACTGCATTTAATTGCATTGCTCTTGTGGTCGCATGTCGATTGATCAAGTCGAAAAATGTGTCCATATGGTCAGACAAAAATTAAGTCACAAAGGTTGAAAGTCAGGGGATATTCTTACATGGGCTTATCGGAAAAAATAATCGTATGGGTATAAATATTTAATCCCTCAGCTTAGTCAAAATTGTATTTATTTCGTATTTAATTCCTACTAAGCTTTTAATGATTTTATTTGCTGATTTGATAATGAAGGTTCCCTTGTTTGTATTTTAGCTGTTTGATTTAATTCAATTTCAATATTTATTATTGTTTAAAGCAATTTAAGTCTTGGTAATTGATATGGCATAATCAATGCGAAAGCAAAACTATCATCTTATAATTAAGTTATCGTTAGGCATACGCCTATAGCACAGAAATTGATTGTATTTTATTGATGACAGTTCGTGAATTAATTTGATTAAGTGGAATTTCCATATTTTTGTGTTTCCAAGAAATTCTCTGCTGGAATCAATTGACAGTGATGGAAAAGGTACTATTTTTAAATGCCGATAAGGTACATAAACAACATTTGGGTTGTATTTATATGGAGAAGATAGTTCGTTTTGGAAATGATGGTGCGATAAAAATATTTTAATATCCAAAAAATATTTCCAGAATGTAAGTCGGACTCGAAAATATACCATAGATAACTTGAATCTAAAAATAAAATTTTTTCTTGATTCAGATTAATTATATTTACACTAAAAAATATTTTTTAAGTTCTAGAACTCAAAGGATGATAACAACTAGAAAATATCTTCTAACACGTTTAGAAATTACATAAATACACACAAGAAAAAAAGTTCTCAATACCGGTTCCTCGGTTCCAAAAACAAATTCGAGAGTACTTTGGTCTTGATATCAAGAACGTTTTATCTTAAATAGGAAAGAAGGAAATTTCAATATATCTGAATTTTTCTGGCTGCAGTTATGTACTGAGTACAACTTCTTGGATATTTCCCATCACTTCGATTACAAGAACAAATTTGATTGTATTTTCGTCTTGATATCAAGAACGGTGGAAAGGCGATTTCAATATTTCTGAATTTTTCTGGCTGTAGTTATGTACTGAGTACAACTACTTGGATATCTCCCATCACTTCGATTACAAGAACAAATTCGAGAGTATTTTCGTCTTGATATCAAGAACGGTGGAAAGGCAATTTCAATATTTCTGAATTTTTCTGGCTGCAGTTATGTACTGGGTACAACTACTTGGATATTTCCCATCACTTTGATTACAAGAACAAATTCGAGAGTATTTTCATCTTGATATCAAGAACGGTGGAGATGCAATTTTAATATTTTTGAATTTTTCTGGCTGTAGTTATGTACCGGGTTCAACTACTTGGATATTTCGCATCACTGCCAATCGGTTGCTTTAAAGTAAGGTCCTGGTCTGCCCCCTTCTCCTCCTCAAGATTTGTGCGTGTCGCAGCTTATGCTCTGGCTTAAGCGCTTAAAATGCTTTTTGACAACAACAACAACAGCAACATCTCGGTTGGCAGTAGTAGAATGATAAATTCGTTCCCTTCCCATTGTTTCTAGATGGTTTTTCTCGTGTAAGCCACGCGCCGTCTAGCAGACCCCTCACAGAAAATCTCAGCCATTTGACAACCCACTTTCCCATTTTCAATTTTCCCCCATTCTCGATTTTCTGCACAGTAAGATATCTGTGTAAGATTTCATTGCCTATTTTGTTTTCCTTTTTTTTTGACGCTGAAAATCGCAGCTTCACCAATTTGCGCTCAATTAATTTTGTTGCTTCTCGTCTCTGGTCTTTTTTCGCTTGGCTTTTCTTTTTTTTAAATTATTTGCGGCTGCTCTCTTGTTTATCATTTTCCAACCCAAGTATAATTTATTAAGTTGCAAACATTTTGCGAGCTTTTCGCGTTTACTTAAATATTCACGGCCATTGACGGGACAATTTAAATCAATTTGCTGTCTTTTTCCTGTCGTTTGATGGCTATGCAGAAATTGCGTTTACTGTTATTAATTAACTGCCGTTTTATGCAGATTTTAAAATCAAATGAATTATTCACTAATTATCTCGTAATTTCGTTATCATAATTCAGGGCATCAACATGTGTCGCACTGCATTTAATTGCATTGCTCTTGTGGTCGCATGTCGATTGATCAAGTCGAAAAATGTGTCCATATGGTCAGACAAAAATTAAGTCACAAAGGTTGAAAGTCAGGGGATATTCTTACATGGGCTTATCGGAAAAAATAATCGTATGGGTATAAATATTTAATCCCTCAGCTTAGTCAAAATTGTATTTATTTCGTATTTAATTCCTACTAAGCTTTTAATGATTTTATTTGCTGATTTGATAATGAAGGTTCCCTTGTTTGTATTTTAGCTGTTTGATTTAATTCAATTTCAATATTTATTATTGTTTAAAGCAATTTAAGTCTTGGTAATTGATATGGCATAATCAATGCGAAAGCAAAACTATCATCTTATAATTAAGTTATCGTTAGGCATACGCCTATTGGTCGTAACTTAATATAGATCATTTTCAGTTTAAATCAAACCCTATTTGGCCTTCCATGTGTGCTTGAGAAATGGTGGTGACAAGTCGGTTTTGCCCTCATTGTAACTTATGCAACCAATGCAATTAATGCACTGCAAGGCTCACCCACATCCAGTTGCTGCCTTGGCTGTCCTGCCTTTTGCACTGTGAGTGCCTAATCCTTGGGATCTAATGCCTCCTGCTAGCCGGAGACTTCAGCTTCCGTCGCAGGATCTCCTTGACAGCAGGCAAATCCTGATTTCGTCCTTTCTAGCTTTCAACTGCAAGTGCAGCGGCAACGGCAACTACTGCCGGCAATATTTTTCACACTTGATATAACAAGCAGCCATTTGTTGGCCCTCCTTGCAACATTGCTCACTTTGGATTGCCAAGGAGTCCTCCAGGTGTCTGTGCGTGTGTGCGTCTCCCTGTTTGTGTTTGTATTTGTGTTTGTAATGGCTCCCAAAGCGCACAAACAAAACTGTCATCGGTGTGGCAGCATCTGCAGTGGGCGGCAAAATGGAGGCGGAAGCAGCACTCAGATAAATGCAGTCCTCAAATCAGCAATTCGTTCTCGAAAATCGAAGGCATAACATTTTACAGGCGCCGGAAGCAGCACTCACATAAATGCACCTACGAAATAAGCAATTCCGTTTGGAAATCAAGGAAATAGATTTTCCATGAGTGGGTGACACTTAAAATTCTCGACTTTTAGATAGCCATCTCTTGAAAAAACATACTACTTTTAAAATAAATATTATTGTAAGCAAGCAATAACAAAAAATGTGTGTGTAAAATTTTTTTTAAAATAAAAATAGCAAAGCAATTCCGTTTGGAAATCAAGGAAATAGATTTTCCATGAGAGGGTGACAGTTTAAAGTTGTAACTTTGAGATACCCATCTCGTCAATAAAACGCACTACTTTTAAAATAAATAAATTGTAAGCAAGCATTAACAAAAATTGTGCTTAAAAATTATTTAAAATATTTAAGAATGACAGCTTAAATTAATAAAGAATCAAAATTTGGTTTTAAATAAAGAAGTTCCTTTGTAGAAAATTGTAATATACCTTTTAATTATTAAATATTTCTTAATCCCATTTTCACTTATGAGAAATGATCTAAAAATATTTTTAATTTTTTTCTGTGTACTTGCAGGATAAAAATCTGCCGGCAGATGTTTCCAGAGCCGAGCTAAGTCAAAGCGAAATTCGCCTGCGCTCGTTTGCCGCCTATAATGCAATTTTTATGCTGCACTTGCTCCGCCGCCTGCAAAAGCTTTGGTAGCTTCCGTTGCCATCTCCCTGGCATTGTTTCTGGGCTTCCTTGTCTCCGGCAGCGGTTCGTCCTGGCCGGGATTCAAAGGCAGCGCGCTTATTAAATTGTCTGACGGCCCTCCCCCCGTCGATTCCATTTTTCTATCCTGGCTTACGTTTGCCAGCTTTGATCGAAATATCTGAGACATAATGCAATCTGCACACCGCCAACGCCATTCCCACCAGCAGCTTCATTAAATGCATCCTCCGTCTCGTCCTGGGCCAAATGTCCTTGCCATGTCTCAGGCGCTGGCTTTGATTATTATACTCTTCCACTTGGAGAGATTATTTCTGGCTTTGAGTTCTAGTGAAAGGAATCCATAAGTATCCATATTTTTCTTGAAAATATAGTTCAAATGAACTCCTTGCTGAGTCTAGTGCTTTAAGCAAAGCGTTTAAAGTTTAAAGGAGGTACTACATATAAGAAAGTGGAATTATATGTGAAATGTTTTCTGAAGCATCCCTTTTAGCTAACCAATTTTGCTTAATTTTTTTTTTAACCAATTAAGAATCACTAGAACTTAGAATCACTAGAATTTCTTTTAAATCTTTGTTGAATTTTAATAAAATGTTTTTTCTGGGTCTTTGCCATTCAGGGAATTTTTAGTAAACAATTTACTCTACCCATTTATTCTGATTCTTTGAAAACTGCCAACTACTATAAAAAACCATGCCTAATTTTTTTTGTCTCTTGCCCAAAGTAATCAATTTCAATTTTCCACAACTTTTGTGCAAACTAATTTTCCTTGGAGTAAACTGTGAAATTATGAAATAAAAAGTTTTCAAGAAAGATTAGCACAAGCCAATCTGGCAGCCCACAAGTGAGTTACTCAAGTGTATATTTTTCTCTCCTTCATTTTAGCCGGCCAGCCAACAATGGGATGGCTCAAAAAAAAGAATACGTCTGTTCCGGACTTTGAAAGGGACAAAGGACAAAGGACTCACCTTTCACCAGGGTAAGGATGCCCAGCGGCATGACCAGAACGGCGACCATCAGATCGGTGATGGCCAGCGACATGAGGAAGTAGTTGGTCACATTCTGCAGCCGGCGCTCCCAGGCGATGGCCAGGCAGACCAGGATGTTCCCGGCCGCCGTTCCCAGGACGAGGACGAGGGCCAACAGGGCCCAGTAGTTGTTGGCATCGAAGGGCATGTCCTCGGGGGAGGCGGTGAAGGTGACATTCCCGGTGATATTCCACCTGGCCACCAGCAGTTGATTATGCCGACTGCTGGCATTTGCACCCGACTGCTGCTGCTGCTGCTGCTCCTCGTCCTCCCAGAGGACCAGGTGCTCCGAGCTGCTCCAATCCTCGCCACCGCTGTCGTTGTAGGCACCTAGCGAGGCATACACATCCTCTTCCATTCCGCGTTATTATTCCTATTGTGCGACGCTCTACTCTGATTGCTGGAAATGCAGCATGCTAATTAGCCCTTGCATATGCAACGCAAAAAGGGGGGGGGGGGGCTAAAGGGAAAAAGAGGAAAGGTCCTTGCGCGCCGATTCGATTCGAATTGCAAATGTAAAATGGCGCAACCGCCTGCACCGGAAATGAGTGAGGGACGCGGGATCAGGATCCGCGAAAGGGACAGGACGAGCTCACGGCAAACCGACGATTCCTACGATTCCTACGGCAACCGAACGGATATTGGTGGCAAACATTTTATGCCACGAAATTGCCGGAAGTTTGTGCTGCAATCGAGAAAAGAAGAGAATGGAAAAATTATAGAAAACTACTTTGATAGGCAATCTTTGCAGTGAATGAATATAGCTTCAATGCCTAATTAAAAATAATAGTTTCAAGAATTGAACCTTATAAGGTATACCATGATAAATACATTGTACTAATTGTTGTTTTTATAAACTTAATATTGGCATATTAAATATATTTAGTTTTATATATCAAAGATTTAGAACAAGGTAAGTTCTAAATTATTTTGGGAACGGGTTGCATCATTTACTTTATAATACCATTCAAGATCTAAGCCATACAATGAGTTCTATGAGATATGTATTTATTATACATTACTATATTATAAACTTATTATATATTATATTATTATTATTATTAAATATATTTAAATGCGTCCTGGAGGATAAAACTAATGTGACAGATATTTAAGAAAATTTTGAGAACGGGTCACCATATTAACTATGTTATTTTGTATTTAACATTGATTATTATTTAAAATTATATATACAAATTCAAGTAAGCTAGCTAAATTGTTTAATAATAAAACAAATAACAAGAAAAGTGTCAAGGGTTACAATTGCTACATCTTTCACCTTGAGTACAATGGAAGCCACAGGTATTGTTCAAACCTGCCCTTCTAATTTACAAATTCCAAATAATTCCCTTGGTTGACCGTAAACATCATATATTACATTTGTTAAATTACAACAATGACAAGACCAAGCATGTTAGATATTCACAAGTTAAATTTCCACAGAATTGACTACGAACACAATGGAATTCAGGAATTGTACTACAACACACAAGTATTATTCAAATCTGGCCATCTAATTTACAAATACATAATAACTGATTGCCTTACGTTGGCTTTTGGCTTCGATCGGGTTGGCCTGGTTACTTTACCCCCAATTGGCTTAAAGTCGATAAGTCATAGCACAGCTCCATGAGTAATAATTAATGGGTGGCCATAAATTATACGGGCCTCCATCTCCGCCCACTCTTGTTTACTCGATTTACCGTTCTCTATTCAGACGATTGGACGACATAATTGCATTTGATTTGTAGGAACTAAGGGCAATCGGCGGTGGCCGCAGGGGAAAAAGGGACTTTGAATAATCGAAATCGATAGTGATAAGCAACAATAACAGAAATCAAATCAATTCTTCGCCTGCGTATGTCACAAGCATGTATAATTAATTGAGACATATTTCACGCAACAGACAGAAATCCAGGAACAATGGCAGGGCTTGCAATGCTCAATATCCAATACCTAAATACCCAAATTCAAAACGATCCAAAAAGCCCAGGAAACCGCAGACAGAGACCACAATGCCATACATATCTGTGGACTTGTGTGCCCCAAAACAGCACTAACATGAAATTTATTTCCAAAACAAAGAAATAACACAATTCCCCAGCCGCAAAAGCATAACTTTGAGTGGTCAGGTTGGAGGGAAGGGACCAGCTATTTTGGAAGCTGTTCTAGGGCCAACCAGACAAACAAGGAAGTAGGCCACATTGAGAGAAAAATGTTATTATACTAGTTACAATGTTAAGTCTTCATTTTATAGATAGTTTTAATAATTAATTTTTAGTACTTAATAAGCTCAACAAATAAAATAAATCACCATAAATGTTGTTAACATACAGTTGTCTATTTATACCCCATATATCAATCCAAATAAACTAAGGTCTTCTTCAATCAAATTACTTATTAAGAAGCCAAACAAAATAATATTTGTATTTAAAATTTTTGTATATACATTTTAATTCCAAACATTAAATAATAAAAAGATAAAAGATATTAAAAAGATAAATAAATATAAAACGTTGTGATTAGATTGATTTTTAAATATCAAATAATTTAAAAAAAAAATTTTCTATAAGTTTTCCAGAGTGACCATAATAAAATAAAAATCACATCGAAAAAAATATCAATTAAAATATTTTAAAAGAAATAAAAAGAAATCGAAGTAAGTGTCACTAAATCTTATTTTAATGCTATTTGGTAAATTACATTTTTAATAATGTTATGTATTTGTTGGTTTTATATTTTTCTCTCCGTGCAACCACAGTGGCAGGCTCATCGTTACAAAACAATACACAACATTGGCAGAGATCGAAGGAATGGCTCGGCGGTGGACAGGAGTAAAGTGTGGCTAATCGAGGAACTTTGGAAAGGACCTCAACTCGACAACACCTTGTTGACTTTCGTTCCTGTCTGCACGTCCTGCCAAATGCTCAAGTGTCAATGTTGTTGTTAATTAATTTTGCCGACCGACTAACTGACTGACTGACTGATGCATGCCACCAGATAAGTGGGGCTCCCACTTCTGGCCAGGCCACACAGCTGACCCTTGCCGAAGTCCGGGCGCCTTGATAAACTGTTTGTTTGCCCCGTTGTTGGCCAACTTGTAGTTGCCGTTTCCTCTGTCACTGCAGCCGGCTAATGACAGCCAAACGGCCACTTCAAATGTACTCGTACATGGGTCAAAGGTCGCCTGCGTGTCGAGTGTTCCTGTGTGTGCGTTTGTTTGTGGGGGTGTCAAGTGTTTAAATTTCCAGCTGCTACAGTTATATTTATAGATTAGTTGGTAAGACAGCCCACACGACAGGCCTTTGGAACAGCTGGAAGGGCTCAAGTGCGTGGGGGAATCACATTTAAAAGTTCAATATCTAAAAATATAGTTACGATTTCATAAAAAAAGGAAAAGGTTACCGAACACGAAATAAAATTACCATTTTAAACGATTATAATGCAGGGTAATTAATAATATTTTTAGCTTAATTATTAATTGATACTTTATAGGAATAAAATAGTTTAAGTCCACCATTTTAATCATAATGTTGTCAAGTAAATTAACCTCTAATTAAATACCATTTTGATATGAATAAATAACATTTTATTAGAATAGAATATAAGGTTTGAGTTTACCATTTTAAGCGATTAAAATGTTTAGTATATTCGTTATGAAGCAATTTTTAACTGAATAAATAATATTTTATAACATTTTAATTTATTATTTTAATCGAACATACTGTAGTGTATCTTCGTTAATTAAATAACACTTTTATGTGAATTCCCAAAATGTTGCAGACTACCTATTTTCGCTGATTAAATAACATTTTCATAAGAATTCCAAGAATGTCTTCCTGTCCCACCAAAAATTCCCCTTTAAAGAGAAGCAAGCTTTCGTATAAATAACAAAAAATTCTTTTCAGGCAGAAAATAGCATGTCAGCACATTACAGAACCAACAAAGTCAGCCCGAGAGCCCATAATTATTATTCAGTTCCCACTCCCGCCCGCCGTTGGACATGAATTGCAGGAAAGCCATATTTTTTTTTTGTGGCGCGAATGGGAGGTCAGGTGAGCAGGTATCGAATAAAAAGCGGAGCACCATTAGTCATATTAATCCCGGTGGAGTCATTAAGTCGTAAAACAGCGAAAGGAAGCCAAAATGCGAGGCAGTCGGGCCAGAAACTCTACTCGGGTGAGCCGTGGCAAGACGACTTTTGTTTGTCTGTCACTCCATTGATAGACGTAAACCGACTATGTGGGTCAATTTCGGCTGTTTGCCGCCCCGTCAGAGTCAATAAATAAGTAAATGGCACGAATTTCAGGTGTCGGAGACGTATACGTAATGTGGTCAAGGCACCGGAAGCGTATAAAATGGGGAATAGTAGTATTTTTGAAGATCTTCAAGAGTCTTTAAGTGCCGGATTTTCATAAATGTAAGCTAGCTTTACTGTATAAAAAATAAGCTGGCCTTAAAATTCTGCGAAAGACTTTCTATACCCTTGTGATATTTTTTCCAGGAAACCCAATGTACCAATAAAAATGGTTATAGTATAGTTTAATTAAGGGACTATGTTTTAAATACATTCACAATTCGTTGGAAAAAAGTAAATATTCAGTGAAATTCATAACTGTCATAACTGTAAGCTATCTTTACTGAATACAAAAATGTTGGTCTTATAATTCTGCGAAAAAACGTTCTATACCCTTGTCATTTTTTTTTCCAGGAAACCCAATATACCAATAAAAATGCTTATAGTATAGTTTAGTTAGAAGACTATATTTAAAATACATTCAGATTTTCATGAAAAAACTACATTGCTTCCGGGAAAATCAAGCTGGACCCTCCAATCGGATCAGTGCCTCCACTCAAAAAAACGTTCTATACCATTGTGATTTTTTTCTAAGAAACCAATATACCAATAAAAATGGTTATGGTATAGTACAATTAAGAGACTATATTTAAATACATGCAGATTTCGTTGGAAAAACTTAGTTATGGTGTAAATATTCAGTGCAATTCCGAAGTCGACATTGCTTCCAGGAAAATCAAGCTGGACCCTCCAATCGGATCAGTGCCTCCACTAAAAAAAACGTTCTATATCATTGTGATTTTTTTTCCAAGAAACCAATATACCAATAAAAATGACTATGTACAGTTTATTAAGAACTATATTTAAAATACATCACATTTCGTTGGAAAAACGAAGTTAGGGAGTAAATACTCAGTCAAATTCCGAAATCAACATTGCTTCCGGGAAAATCAAGCTGAACCCTTCAATCGGATCAGTGCCTCCACTCAATTCCGGCAGCATGCCATTCCAAGTCCATTGGCCTCGAGGGGATGGGTGCAACTAATCGCATGCTCATTGCTCATCCGCCGCCCATCCCTCGGCACATTGCTTATCCGCAGCGTAATCCGCCGGCTTCCCTGGGCGGCGCACACATCGCATCACGCATACGCCACGTCGGCCCAAATCGGCCCAAAAGGCACACCACACATATCTGTTTCAGTGGCCCTGCCTATGGGGCAGATACGATAAAAAAGAAAAAACACAATCCAAGGTACCACAAACACTGCGCAAATATTTGTTTAAAATATCTTTCACATGTCAGCGACAAGCGGCCATCGGGGAAATGGCGGTAAGGGAAACACTGGGAACTCGGAAGCTCGGAAAACTCGGATACGGATACACGGTAAATG